TATATAATATATATATCAATATATATATTGATATATTGATATATATATATTGATATATTGATATATATATATAAAAATATTATTCTCCTCTCGCTCCAGTGCCACATCCCAGGACTTCCGGCCAGGGCGGCTGATGACTGTAAAGTTCACCGGACTGCCTATATTTCTCTGTTCAAATAACAAATGGCACATGTGTGACCAGCCTAGGACTTTAGCTGGCAGTCAATCGCTGTAGGAGGAGCTTGTGATTCTGTAATTCATATTGCTCTGAGCTGCTTGAGTGCGTGGACGTACAGAGAATCGGCATGCCAGGCTGCATTGCAGGGCCGGATGGCCGCGTGGTCACATAATCGTACACCACCGCAGATCGCGCTGGCGGTGCCATTATGTTGTTATTGCACCCTAGTCGCCCCAGACAGTTTAAAAAACGGCGTGGTGCGTGTCACAAAAAAAGGTACATGTACCCTTTTTCAGCGACTGCTGTGTGGATGTAACTCCATTGAAATCAATGGGGCCGCACGGCAACCACTGTGTGCACTCGCACAGGATCACCGAAGTCTGCTCCAGCCCTAAAGGTAAGAACAGATGTTTGCTGCTGTATTTTTTGCAATGGAGGGCTACCCTCACACTGCAATGGTTAGCTGCTCCTTTTGGTCTAGGGAGGAAAATAACAAAGCTATACTCACCTGATCTTTGGAGACGGCTGGCTGTGACAGCGGTCCCTACTGGCTCTGTCCAACTACGCTGCAGCAATGTAATGTCCCTCAGTGTTCTCACATTCTATACACAGTGATTTATGGGACCTTAGACCGCTGCAGCAGAGGGGAAGAGAGGCTTCAGAGACTGGTCTATGGGCACTCTAGCTCAGAGGATGAGGTGAGTATACATTTGTTATTTTCCTCCTTAGAGGAAAGTGCTATACAAAGCAATGACAGCTACAGCTGTTTGCATGTAATCAAACATGCTTTGAGTATCTGCGGATGATCGCCACAGGACGCAAAGAGTCTGCACCTAGGGTTGATCGTCCGCAGGTAATCCCACATTGCCCAATTACATGCAAACTCTTTCAAACAGCTATGGGCACTGTCAGCTGTCATTGCTTTGTCTAGCACTTCCAATAAGTCTCATGGAGCTAATCGTGAGATTGCCTTAATCAGCCGAGTTGCAAGTGTGAATAGGGTTCAGTGTCACTGAGTGGAAACAAGCATGCAGGTCTGGAGCTGATTTCATTGGTTGCATGCTTTATCTAGGTCAGTAAAGCCATGAGTAGGAATCAGAGCTGCTCTTAATTACAGTTTGTGCTAAAAATGTTGTTTCTGCCCTGGATTTCCACTATGCTCTTGTCAACAAAGTCCTTCTCCCCAAGACATGCTAGGTAGGCATCAAGTGTGTGCACCGCTGTTAATGCTCTTTTGCATGATAACGATGCTTCAATAACCTATATAGACACCATAGCCACTATTATAACAAGAGCTGTGATCATATTACCTTTTAGACACGCAACTTTCGTTTTATTCCGGATGGATATTTGTACAAATTTCGTAAAAATTCGGACATTGGAATGCATCCGAAATTCCAAATTCGAAATTGTCCGAATGCCAATTAATCCGAATCTTTCTTTAATGAAAATTCGGATCTGTCAGAATTTTGTTCAAAACGAAACTAAATCGGACATGTGACTGTTTCTCAGTTTATTTTGGCAATTGGGGAGTGCAATACAGACATGGTCATGTGACTTCCTGTTGTAGACCTTTCCGAAATGAATAACAAACTGAAACCTGAATAACAAACTGAAACTCGAAAACCTGAATAACAAACTGAATTGAATTTTGGATCCGAAAAACGAAAGAAATAAAAATCTGAATCGATCTGAAACAAAACAATTTTTTTGTGGGGTTACATGTCTAATTACTATGCTCTTACTGTATGTTACAGAAACTTTATTGCACATAACTCAGTGCCTCATTATTACTAAATGTCCTCCAGGAAATTGTAGCGAGGAGAAGAACAAGATATTACAATTGTTTATGAAATTAGCAAAAGCAGAAGTGTGAATCTTTTTTAATGATTTTATACAAGTTGCTATTAGTCCTTTGGGTAGTGTTTCCCAAAGAAGGTGACTTTGTAAGTTGGATGCCTCCTGATGGATTATGTTAGTTTCCCAACTGTAGTGATGAATTACAGCTGGGAAACTAACATAATAGAGCAGGGGTAGGCAACTTCAGCAGTCCAGCTGTTGTGAAACTACAAGTCCTATGAGGTAATGGCAGTCTCTGAAAGCCACAGGCATGACTCCTAGAGGCAGAAGCATGACGGGATCTGTAGCATCACCACACCTGCCATTCTTACCCATGTAAGAGAGTAGATAGTATCACAAATTGTATATGTAATTAGACAAACTACAGTATAGAATTTTTTTTCAAGGCAACCAATCAACATTCTTTGTTCATCTTACTGACTGTTCTAAACAGACAAAAAGTGGACTATGACTACTTGTTTTCCCCCTACAGGATATATATATATATAT